CACACTCACTCTCCTGACATGTCCAGCTTCCTCTGCTTTTTTTGAAATAAAAGGGCAACTTTCACTTGGAAAGTGTTCACATCAGTCTGTTTTATGAAATTCCATTTAGTTCAAATTCTCCACTCATGTCCACGGCCATGTCCTCAGTTTACATCTCACAGGGATCCACTTCTGCTCAGATTTCCTTAAAACCTGGGTCATGTTCATTCTCACTCTCCGTCCCACTCAGTACCTCCTATTGGAGCCCCTGGGGCTGCCTGGTGCTCATCTGTCAGGTGATGCCCTCAGCTGAGGAATGAGGGGACCCCGGTCCTCAGGAGGAGGGAGGGTTGGGTGAGATAACGAGCACCATCTGGGCCCATGGAGAGGACACATGGAAGGCGCTCAGGGAGTGTCAGGGGATGCACAGTCCCTGACACGTCCCGGGATGACTAATTTAAACTGATTTCTTCCCACTGGACTCTCTTTTGCATCTCTGTGGATTCTCACACCCCCAGCCAAGACTCACCACACTGGCTCAGACACACTCCCTGTTGCTCACTTTCCGGGAGTCCAGAGCCTGAACCAGGCACCAGGTAAGAGGACAGAGTGAATGCTTCTCGTTTCATTAATATTTTCCTTCACCTGGTGATTTCTCCCTGCTGTCTACCAGGTCATTTGTTTCTCCCACACCTTTTCTTTCTTATTCTCCTCATGTCTCTAATTTTTTTTCCCATTTCAATGGACCAGAACAGTGATGATATTGTGACATTCAATCTCTCCCAAATCCCTATATAATGTTTTTCCTTTAAATTAACATGTACAGATATATGCATTTATATCATTTGTCTTATTATGTGTGACTGTGTATATCTGGTGTGTATACTACATAGGGTGTATATACATGCAGTAGATCATATAATGATGCAACTTTTGTAAATTCTCTAGGTTTAGTCTTCCTGATTCTTTCCTCTCATCAGCTGCTGTCACCTCTGTCTGGTCTCACCTCTGTGCCACATGGGCTGCCACCCTGCCAGGCCCTTCCATTCTCATCTCCTGTTAGAACCCAGCTCTGATTTAACTTTGATTCTTGTAATCTCTGCTCTCCCCAAAGCTTGGCCTACACACACTGCTATTTCCTTGCCTTTGCCTTATCTACCCGGAAGCTATTTGTGTTTCTTAATCCTGTGTTTCTTGAATATTGTTGTGAATTGGCAATGCCTTTGACTCCTGACAATCTTACCGTTGCTCAGTAATGTGGGAAAGATCAAGAAAAAAGAAAATATTAAAGTGACTCTATTGGCTTCCCCTCACCCTTTGGACTTTCTTCTCCAAGGCCACTTTCCTGATTTGATGTCCTCTGGGTGGAAGAGAAAGTCACAGTAAGATTGTGGGTGCCAGTGGATCCCATTGGCTGTGGTTTTATTTTCAGAGCTGGTTTTAGAGCCCTCCCTGGGAATGAAGAACCCTCCCGAGCTGGAAGCTGATGCACTTGAAGGCTCAGCAGACAACACACAAGGGCGTCAAGTCATTGGCCAGATTCATGCCTCCAGTGTCCTGAAACCGAAGATCATCAAAAGAAAACTCCCGCTCAGCAAGTGGAGACTGGCATGCAGATTCCTTGGCCTGCAAGCTTAGGGTGCAGAGGTAATCACATCTATGGCTGATAGCTGCACTCCTTAATTCTCTGTCTATGGTGACAGCTCATTCTCCCACTGCTTTTTCTCACCCGTTTGTTCTCTCCAACAGCTGCTCTAACCTCTGTCTGGTCTTACCTCTGTGTCCCATGGGCTCCCACCCTGACATGCCCTTTCTGTCCCCATGTCCTCTTTGCTCTCTGAACTCTGCTCTATTCCTTCTTCTAGTGTCTTGACAGTCCCTCTCATGGCCACAAGAGAGCCAGGCCTCCTTGTCCTCATCCAAGTGCATAGTTTAAGCTGCTGAACACAGGGTCATTTGCCTGGAATCACACACTCTCTTGGGAAATTTACCTTTCCTCCCCTCATCCCCAACTCCATTGCCTCTTTCTGCAGAAATCATTGCTTTAATACATCATTTACACATCGATTTTCCTTTTGAGTCTTCTTTTGAGAAATCCAACTAAGTCAACTCCTAATCATCACTTGTTCCTCTGAATGAGAAGTGTTAAAACTACGCACAAAGAGCCCCACGTAGGAAACAAAATTAGAACCAGAGTCACGGGTGGGGGTTCCCTACTGGCCTGGAGTCAGGTTAGTCTTTAGCCCCAGATGTGCAGCCTAGTGTCAATGGGGATCGAGTTGTCAGGGTCTCAGTGTTCTCACCTCATGGACTCACTTGAGCTGACGTTAACTGGGGAACACTTATGACATTCTAAAGGGACATCAGTTCTAAAGCACGTGCAGAGGGCAGGACTTCAAAACTGCATACATCATGAGGTTCACCATTGCAACCTCTCTCCTTTTTATTCTCATTTCCACTTCTACAAGTCCAGTGAAGGGTCTAAAATGCAAGTCAGATGCATCTTGAGGCCAGTGTATATGAGAGAGCATTTTATGAATTAATATTGAGAAAAGTGACCATAGGACCAGCTTTATGCATACGCAAGATGACAGACAAGAATCTGTCTACAGGACAATGTTTGCTTTGGCCCAGCCCAATTGATAAGAGAGAGATTGAACTGAAATTGTCAGGGAGAAGGCTACAATCCATGGAACCACTGGGAACAAAGCCAATTCTGAGAGAAATGGGGAAAGAAAAGAAAATGATGGGAAATTGGGCTGGTCCATTTAGTATCTCTAAATCCTGCTGCCATGTAATAAGCACCTGGTGAGATTTCAATTGAGATGAATGCCTCGAGCTCACACCTTGAGATTCTCACCTACATGACCTGGGGTGTGGTTTGAGCATCTGTAGTTTCAAATGCTCCCATGTGATTCTAATATGTGACTAAAAATGACAAGGACCCGTCGTCTACGATGACCTCAGGTTACCAACATGGAAGTGTCACATACGTGTGGCTACTCCACAGAAAAGGCTGAGTATCCATCATTCTTTGATGGGATCTGTATTCCCCTCTCAATAGTACTGTTTGTATAGCATAGAAAAAATCAATAGGAAAAACAAGAAAATTAATAGATTAGACTTTTAGCCTCTGCTGGAAGCACACTTGCTCAATTTTGAATAAAAGATAAGAAATAGTCAGTATGTTAACACCTAATGCGAAATAATACCTCCCACATTACATATACTGGAATTTAGTATTTTCTTTTGCATTTTAAAAGAAAACTTCCACTTTACATTTTCCCACACCCATTTTATAGCCCACTCATGGGCTCACCACTGCAATATGAAAATTTCACTTTTGGTCAATTATTGTCCTTCTGCAAAATCCCCAAGGAGAACTCATTGGTCTCACTTTCCTGAAGAGAATACAATAACAAAGTAAGACTGAAATTCTGCAGGAGATTGTGTATGAATACTTTTTCGTACTTTTTCATGCCTCTCTTCACACTGACATAAAATATTAAAAACAAACCTTTCCCAAAATGTACTTGGGGAAAACAGTAAGTGGGAGGGGAGAAACTAATGCCTTTCACTTTGTACTTCAGAGTTTTCTTGCTCTAGATATTGAGAATGTTTCTAGAAATGCCTTAAAGTGGAACCAGATGCGGAACAACTTCAGGGCATTAGGGAAAATAAGTTGGGCCATGGTTACAGTCCCAGCTCTCTCTTTCCTAACTCCATTTCGAGTCGCTCTTTTTTAAATTCCGTTTCTTTCCTGATTCCCCTTGGACAAATACTTATAATTATATTTGTTTCATTTAATTTTTTTTAACCAACCAAAGAAGCAGAAGCAACTTCATATTTATTTGTAAAACCATATTCCTGTCCTAGCCAAGGTGACCCAACCGCTTCTCGTGACTTGATACCTCCAGATTGCAGCCTTTCCTCTCGCTTTCTCTAATCTTTATTGAAACGGTGTTAGTGGGTGGATTCTAATTCTGAGGTCATCAATAGCAAGTTGTGTGCCCTTAGTTCAGTCTTACCCCTGTGGCATCACTACTCCTCTGTTGTAAAAGATGGAACTGGACGTGGATGTTGTCTGAGGTTCCTGCTGCTTCTCACATCCAAGGTTCTTCCCATGGCCCTCACGTTCCTCCCTAGAAAACTAGGACATGGAGTTGTAAGGGGGTGCATTTCTCTGCAAAGGGTCCTCTTCTTCTGCTCCCCTCTGTTTCTTGGCCAGCATCATGGATGCTGAGCACATCCTCACGGGGAGGAAAAGCCATCACTCTGCTCCAGACAGAGGGTACCAGAAGGAAAGGGGCTGATGTCCCCTGCTGCTGGTTGGGCATAGGTGGGGTCCTTATATCCTGCACCCCAGGCTGACTGGAAGTTCAGGGAAGTTCAGGAGTGTTTTCTTCTCATTTGTGGATGGCACTTCCTCCTTCCGTCATCCTGCGGCTCACCCTTCAGTTCACCCTGCCAGCAAGAGATCAGTTTGCCCCTGATATATCTCTACTTAGCAATCTCCCCAGACTCAGTCATCAGGAGGACGTGACAAAAATGCTCATTTGATTTTTTACTCTCTCTGTCCTACAGATACCAAATACTGCTGGAAGGATGCAAAGGATGGAAGGATGTCACAAAAAGTAGTTTTTCCACTTGATGAAAACAACTAAAACAGCAAAGCAAGTTCAAATCCAAACACAATACTGCAGGGGTCCTTCACTGAGGATTGAATTTTAGACACAGAATACTCTTGATG